AGTGTCCAGAAACTGAGTTTCTATCTTAGCTCTAATTGGACTGAAAATAATGGGTTGTAAAACATCTAGTAAAGACTGTATTAACTCCCTTTTCATAGGGCTTAATGTACGTAACTGTGGCTTCTTCCAAATGTCAGTGCCATATGTATCTGGGAGTATTTACTTCTGCAGAACTCTGCTTAACCAACATTTTCTTGGTTCTAAGCAGAAGTAGGGCCTGTGAGCTTAAGATTCCAGCTGGTGCCTCTTAACAAGTAAAACCTTTAAAGTTATTTGTGATGTAATTGTAAAATATAATTGTGTATTACTGGCAACATTAAACAATTTTCTCCAAGCACTTATTTTTTTCCATTTACGCTCAAGAGGGATATCAAGTTCTATCTTGTTATATTTTTGGTTCTCTGAGGAAAAGAACCAGAACAAAATTTTCTGACTTTTTATTATCATGAAATGCCAGCCAGCTCAAAGGGGATACTTTACATAGAATTCCTTTTTCTATCTGCCTTATATTCCAAATCTGCTGCATTTTGCAAGGGTTTCGAGTTAAGGTTAACTTGTGTTGTTTTACTTAGAGCAGATTCCCAAATTTGCGGATAGGAAGATGATGAGAAAAGTCAATCTTGTAGAAAGGTTTGGGACCACAGAGTTTGAGTTCTCCTGTTTTATTTCCATTGTTGTGTATCATTGTGTTTGTTTATCTTTCTTCAAATAACCCAGTTTTTATGAAGAGGCTCTTGTCCATGCTCGTGTTTTGTATTTCTCATTTTGAAGGGCTAATGTGATAAAGTTTGACAGCCATTTTTGCTTAATTTAAAGCTCTCCCTTGTAATTTTTGGGATATTGCAAGGAGGAAACAAGAGGCTGCTATATCTACAGGTTGTGAGAACTAGTTTGTTGTACAGTTAAGAAACCAGATTAGAAATTGGGAGACTGTGAGTTCTAGTCCTGTCTTGGGCATGAAGCCAAACCTTCTCTCTTAGCCCTAGGAAATAGGTAATGGCAAATCACTTCTGAAATCCTGCAGAAATACTGCAAAGACTAATCTGGGCACTTGCCAGATGTCAAAAACTGACCAGAAGCCACTTGCCTGTGCACCTGCGTGCACACGCACAAAATCACTGCCCCTGTTTCTCCAAATAAAGTAGTGGTAGTTTTCAAAATAACTCCAAAGAATTTTAATATGGCATCTTCCTCTCCCCCCCCCCAAATAACATGCCCCCTTCCCACCTTATTGGGAAGCTGAAGAGGAGTCAGTGTCAGAAGTGGAGAGGGGAAAAGGTAACGGGTAGGGCAGAGATTCTGGGAAGACACTAAATGTGAGGAGTGATATGGCTGTGACAGCAACGGGAAGGGAAGGAGGAAAGGAATTCACTTCTCGCTTCAGCCATTCCCGTCTGGCCACACCCACACTACATTGGCTAACTGCCTTTCCAAGATATTGAGACAATAAGTTACAGGTTTTATACACCTTGCAAACCTAGTCGAGTTGAAGGGGAAAATCCCTACGAAGCTGGTATCCTTAAAGACAACAGAAGGCTGCTTTGGTCCTGGGCTGGGGAGGAAAGGAGGGCAGCCCGGTGGATGAAGATTAACTTCTCCTCTAAAATGATACTAAAAGTTCTTTTGAGGGTCTTGGAGGGCTCCTGCTCCATGAACAATTTTGAGGCTCATCTCCTGGGATAGGGGTGGGGGGGGGAGGAAGATTACAGCTGCGAGGGGTCCTCGGGGCTCTCTGAGCTTTGACGTTTCATTACCCCCAACTAGATCTGCAAATAGTCTGCCAGGCAACAGCCAAGCTCACAGAGCGCCAAGGATCCCTCATGGCAGCCCTGAGCTACAAACACCTTTATCGCTATTAAGGCTGTGCCTGGTTATGACCCTCCTAGGTCACTTATCCAAGAAAGCAAAGCACACCCCGGTAATGGTGGGTCTGTTGTTGTTTTTTTTCATGAATTTTTCAGAACAGCAGCAATCTCCAGATTAACCGCCACAAGGACAAACCTCCACAGTCCTAATAACCCAATGAAAAGATGCTTCTCCCCAATGGCCTTTAAAGACGGGCAGTGGGACCGCTGGGTACTTGAGGCTGGTGCAGGCTTGACAAGGGTTAACTAACCCTCACCCTCTCCTCCGAGGTGACTGTCAAAAGCCTGGGAGGGAGGGAGGGAGATTCCCTAAATGACTTAACACCCTACGAGGCAGTCGAGGACGAAAGCGCCGGGAGGGAAGGGTCGCGATGAACGCAGAATCGCGATTTAATTGGGCGCGGTCCCCAGTGCCGTTCCCGTTACCTCGTGTCCATCAATGCGCATCTTTTCCGGGGCTGGGGAGGGGTATCCATTGATCGGAAGAGACGATCCAATCGAAACATCTGGCGATCCCGTAGACTCAAAGGAGCTGGTTTTGGGGTGGGGGAAGCGGGGCGGAGAGGTGTCACCGACCCTTCCCGATCCGGATCCAGGGCGAGGAGTTAAACGTGCAGGGGGAGCCGCCAACGGGGCCGTCATCGCGCTGCTGACAGACGGCCTCGGGGAAAATCTCTCCCGCGGCAGCAGCGCCTGAGCGCGACCGCCTTTGCAGCGGCTACCTGAAGGCTGAGCTCCGTGTTCCCTTGGCTTTTCCGGGAATTCCCGCCACCCCCCCCCCAGTCCCTGGCAGTTGATTGACGGGAGGGGTCCATATACAGCCCAAACAAGGGCCAGGTGGATGGGCTGCCGATGCTTCCAGAGAGTTAATGGTTCCCACTGTTGAAGAGGTAGCGCTGACTGAATTATCCATCAACCTGTTGGATTGCAGCTTCCTAGCGCCGGGCCGCTTGCAGTCTTAGGGCCTTACTTTAAAGGGCTGGTCCTGGGGCTACATGCTTACACCCAGTCCCAGGTTTCGATCTGGGATGCGTACTAAAATGAATAATAATTCCGCAAGTCGGGGGCAAATCTTTTGGACTAAAAATGCATTCCGTTGTGAGGTTGTTGTTGTTGTTTTTTTCCGTTGCAGTTGGGAAGGCCGGCGTAGTAGCCCAGCGTTTGAACCTCTTGGGTTCTTACCTGAGGTCCACTTCCAGCAGGGGCTTCGAAGCCAGCGTTTCAGGTAGCCGGCTGCCGGCCACGCCTTTCTCCGGCTAATAGGTGGCTTTTCAGTCGGTGACCCGATTTGCCCGCAAATTCGGACGACGTCAGTCACGAAATAAAGCGCCGATTAATTCGGACCACTCGTTAATTTGCCCAATACAAAGAACGCGGCCGTCTACCTGGGGCACAGTATTTCCCAAAGAGCCAGGGAGGGACGTTGGGGGACTAAAAGACCATCAAAATCGGGAGGGGTGGGGTCGTTTTTCAAGTTTACTGCCACCTTCCACTCCCAAATCCAGAGCGAACCTGTTTTCCACCGGCATCAGAGTTATATCCAATAGAGGCGCGCGAACCTCCCCGCGCCTTGCATATATGCTCGCGCGGGCAGAAAGCCTATCGCTGGCCGCCCCTTGTTTTCCCCTCCCAACCCGTTTATCCGAGAGCATCAAGGTTAGAGCTACACTACAGAACTTTTTTTTTTTTTTGGTAATCCCCGCTGCTCTCAAGGGGACGGGCTTCCATTGGCCCCGAGGGTCCGGACCCTTAACGTAACCGGAGGGGCTTTGAGCCTGCTCCGTTGCGTTCGCTTAAGGACCCGCCGCTTCAAAGCAGGGGGGGCGCAGCGCGATCTTTGCCCGCGCCGGGTGCTCTTTCGGCCTTCATTTACTACTCCTGTTTTCGCACGCGCCGGCCGGAGAACTTCAGGTGCCACCCTATTGTGCCCGGGGAGAAATCCTTGCGCCACTCAAACGCCCCTCGTTCGGGTGGGTGGGAGAGCTCAATGCGCAGATAGTAGTGCTTATTCTCCTCCAGAATCAGGGGAGGTTTGTAAGGCCCCGTTTCCTTCTGCCCCAGATTCTAAATAATTATTTAGATACATTTCCGCTGAGATTACGTGTACATCTAAGCATGTAATGGTTAGCCCCCCAGTGTGCGCGGGGGATTGGGGAAGCTTCGTTTTTCCTTTAAGGCTCTTTAAACACAAGCCTTTCTTTCTTTTTCTTTTTCTCTTTCTTTTTCTTTTCCTCTTTCTTTTTTTCTTTTTTTCTCTTTTTCTCTTTCTTTTTCTCTTTCTTTCTTTCCCCCTTTTAACTTTTCCTTTTTTCCTTTTGCCCTTCTCTTTTCCCCTTATCCTCCCTCCCACCCTCCCTCCCTTCTTCTCACATTTATTTCCCTTTTCATTTTTCTTCTTCTTTCTCTTCCTTCTCTATTTTCACTTTTTTTTTTCTTTTCCCTTCCCCTTCCTCCTCTCTCTCTCTCTTTCTCTCTCTCTCCCCCCCCCCACCCGTATCCTATTCCCCTCTATCTTTCTTCTCTTGTGTCAGGGAGGAGAAAAGATGGCCCCGTTGTCTTCCTGAGGCAAGCCAGTAGTCTTCGTCACCGAAATGAACCCAGTCCGAGGCCTCCGAATACTCCTGGAAGAGTAGGAGCTTCACAAAGCAACTTTCTATCCCTTTACGACGTCACTCGGAATTCCTACCTAAGACTATAAGCCCCACTAAATTCAGCGGGGGGAAGGACTGCAGCCTGCTACAGCTAGTTCCTTTGCCTGCTCCAGTTACAAGCAAGGCAGGCAATCCGAAGAACCGGTGGTAGACAACGACTTATTTTTAAACACTTTTGGCAAGTTTCTTGTAACCCCGACTTACTAGCCGTACACGCCGCGAAAATTCCTCCGCTCTCCTTCTCCGAATCGGCGGCTGATTCGGTTAGCTGAGAAGGACCGAAAAGCACTGCTCTTGATTCAGTTCGGTTTTCTCCAGTTTTCTGAAGATGTTGCCTTTTTTTAAAAAAAGGGAAGTAAATTCGGTGGACAACAACGGACTCCAAATAGATACGTTTTAGGACCGGCGCCTATAAAAGATAGAGCAGGAAGTGAGTGCTCCTTGGTGCTCTCTGAGCTTGCTTGTTTTCTTGCAGACGTTTCATTACCCTAACTAAGTAACATCATCCGTGCTAGTAAGGAGTGCGGTTTGCTGTCTTTTTATATTTTAGTAGCTTGCTCAGTATTGGTAAGAGCAGGAAGTTCAACCATACTTCCAATCCTAAACGCGCTTCAAATAACACACAGTGCAACCGTATCTAGATTTATTCAAAAGAAAGTCCTCCCCGATTCAATGGACCTTATTTTCTAGTAAATTGGATAGGACTGCAGCCTCCGGTCTTTGGGAGATATTTTCCTGTAGGCTGTACCCATAAGAATCCTCTACTAAAAAATAAATGTAATTGAATGTAGACTTCAAACCAATATTCACACACCGAAGAGTAATCATCCTTAAATTCAATGGGTTTTTAAATGTTTAGTGCAATGTACTTTCTTTTAAATGTATGTTAGAGTTACAGTCTAACAGCCGACCCTATCCAGATCTTCTCAGAAGTAAACAGATATTAGCTTGGCTAAATGAATTTCAGTGGCCCTTTCTTCCAAAATGCTCTATTTTCTTTTTATCTGTATCTTAGACCTCACTATAAATCAGTTTTATAAGGCATCATTTGCATTTTTAAAAAAAGCAAACGGCGAAATTATATGTTTGCGTTTAAAACACGTCGGTTATTTTAAAATACGTTTAGAGTGGAATCCAGGACGAAACAGGGAAATGAACGCCAGCAGCTTGCCGGAGTTCCAGATGTCTTCAGGGTGCTCAGCTCCTGCAAAGTGTTTGCATTTGCTTCTTAACAGAACAGAATGACAGAACTGGACGGGATCTTTGAGGTCTTCTAGTCCAACCCCCTGCTCAGGCGGGAAGCCCTATACCACTTGGTGTTACGTTTCGGACTTGCACTGGAGGTGGGGATTAAAAGTGCTGTTTCAAGTGGGGTAATTACGGCGCAGGCCAAAACTCTGGGAATCTGGAAGTAAAACTCCTTACCCATCTCTGCTACAATATATTGTCATATATTGACAATCTCGGGTCAGATCCAAGCTGGTGAAACGCGTTTCAACTTTCATCTCAACACCATTCCGCCACCCCCGGCCGCGTCAACTCGTGGCTTATTCAAGAGACGGCCAATCACGCCACGGGCCCCTAGAAGGCAGAGGAAGGAAACGCTGCTTCGAGATTCCCACCAGCTTTGGATTTTCCCGAGGCCCGTCTTTCTAGAGAAGCCTCTTAGGAGAAGGGGCTTCTGAAACCAGCCGGGCGACTCGCTCCTCGGATGCTTTTGCCAATAAGGCTTAAGTAAACGGGCAACTACGATTCCCATCTCAGGTAAAACTCTTGGCAGTACGTTCCCACGGAGATGAATCGCGGGTTTCCTGGGCCGGGGTTGAAAGACAGAGAGGTCTGTGCGTCTCTCTATAGAACAGAAAGAGACGCTACTCCGGACCCTGGTCGGTTGTGTTCAATCTTCCGGACAGGGTGGGGATGAGACGGGCTTCGGGAGTCCTCCACTCCTCGCTTTCCCCCACGCCAACGTCGGAATGTGTCATTACGGGCCAGTTGTCAAACGGCGACAAGGGTTTGCAAAACAATAACCAGAGAACTTGTTGAGGCTGGAGCCCCGGCCGCCGTTATCAGGAGCGATCCGTCGTCACCTCCCGCTTTAGTAGACCTTGTTACCTTGTTCCCAGCGGCACCATCAAGGCAGAGAGAAGCGCCTTTCGCCCGCTCTTGACGGAGGGCTCGGTGGGGAGCAGACCGGCGGGGGAGGGGCTGAGGGAATCGTGGCTCCCTCTCCCCCCCCCCCCGCTCAGCTTCACCTGAAAAGAGAACGTGCTGAACAGGCGGTGGGAGAATGGACTTGTGGCTGAGATCCTGGAATATTATCCAGGTTTGCAGTCTTGGGGAAAAAAAATCCAGGTTCAGACCGAAGGAACAGCGGAAAGGCGACGCTGCCGAGTTAAGAGTTAGGGGGGAGAAGGATGGACTCACACCTCAAAGGGCGTATCCGGAGCGGGATGACTTTCTCTCGGTTCACCCTGAATCTTATTTAAGGGGGAACCGCTCTAGGATTGATCTTGCTCAAAAGAAACGCGACCCACTCGATCGTAGGGGGGAGGGGGACATCCCGACAAAATCAAAAGCTGAGAAAGGGAAAGGTTCCCCCCCCTCCGTGGGGTTTAGCTTTTCGAAGGACAGAAACGTCCGCCCGCTTTATTCTAGATTAGAAAGATCGGATTCCAACTTGCGGCTTTCGCTTCCTCGGAATCAACGGGCCGAAGGAAAGAATCCTTTGGAGAGAGCGCAGCCGCGACCCTTTGGAGAGCGCATCCAAGCCGGACTGACCTAGGAAGCCGGCGAGAGGCGAGAGGCAAGGAAAAGGTAGGCGAGGAGAAAAGGAAGCCGGTTCCATTTCCAGGAGGTACGGAAAGAGCCAGGGATAGCTTCCGGGATCCTCTCGGGGATAGGACGCCCTGCGCGCCGGAGAAGGTGCTCTTCTTGACTTGCAGTCCCCCCCCCTGCGGCCTTTGATCCCGCGGGGCCTCGGCGGAGGCGGGGCCGGGAGCGCTGCCACCCGAGCGAGGTCAGGCGGGGCGGGCCGCCGCCGGGATCGGAGCCGCAAAAGTGAGCGAAACTTTTTCCTCCCGCCAGTGCGCATGCCCAAGGGTGGGGAAGGCGAGTGGGGCGGGGGGGAGAGGGGGGGGAGAAGAGGGAGGGAGTCCGGCAGGCAGGGGATTGAAATAAGGAGGCGGCCGAGGGAAGGGATCCGCTCAGTCGGCGCTCGCGTGCTCAGCGGCGCCTTCGCTCTCGCCTCGCTCGCCTGGCCCTGGCGGGAGGAAAAAGCGACCTCTCTCTTCGGCACCTGGCGCGTCTGTTTCCTCGCTGGCCCCGACCCTTCCTTCCTTCCTTCCTTCCTTCCTTCCTTCCTTCCTTCCTTCCTTCCTTCCTTCCTTCCTTCCTTCCTTCCTTCCTTCCTTCCTCTCTCCCTCTCTCCCTCCCTCCCTTCCCGCCCGCCCGCCTTGCCCTAGGATCTTCTGCCCGATCGGGGCCGTCCCAGAGTTGAGTTCCGGGAAGGTCTTGTACTGGCTGCGGACCGGCGAGCTAAGATCAAGATTAGGTAAATATACATCCAGGCGCCCTCATCCTCCCTGACTTCCCCCCCCTCCTGGAAATGGGCCCAGCGCATCTCTGGCTGGCCACTTTGGGGTTGAGTCTCTCTCTCCATCTCTCTCCGATCCCCTGGTCAGGATGCTCTGATCTGGCTGCCGGGAGGACAGCGGCGCCACCGTGGAGCGGCCACCGAGGAGGCAACAAGGCGTCCCGTCCCCTTTCTCCGGGAGACCGGTTCCTCCTGCTCGGCTCTCGGATCCACGCTCTCCCTTCTCATCCTTGAGATCAATGGGGTCATTGCTCTCCAAAAATGGCTTGGGGAGGGTGAAGCGGGAAGGAATGACCCCCCCCTCCCGAAGGAAACTTCCAGGGAAAGTAATGCGGAGTGCGTTAGCCGTTTGCCAGCAAGGGGAGGGGGGAGACGCAACGAGTGAGCGCCGATCCATCTCTTTGGAAGGCGCCCGTCTCCAGAAGTTCGTCCCTTGGGATAGTCTTGCGTGCTTCGATCTCCCTGGGGGGGTTTTCCCCGGTTGGCAGATCTACAGTCGTTCGCAGCCAGGCCTCCGCCGCTTTTGCTCCCGAGATGCCGCCCGAGGCTCCGCTGTTGAAGGCGCCCCAGAAGGCGAGCGGGAAGACCTTCCCAGGTTTCTTTCGAGCTGCTGGATGCCAGCCGGGAGAAGGCGGAGAAGGCGGTTCTTTCCCCGGCCAAAGGGCTTGCCGATTCTGTAGCCAGGCACCCACATTCTGCCCGGTGGTCTAGGGGAGGGGGGGGTTCGGGGTGGTGAAGCAGGAAGCCGGATCTTAAAAATCTGGAAGCGAGCTCTTTCGAAATATCTGTGAGGGTCTTCCAAAACGGGATGTTGTGCCAAAGCGGGGGTTGTGTATTTGTTATTCGCGGGTCCTGATCTGCAAAGGGCTAAGATGGCAATTGCTGGGATTTCGGCCCGCTTACTTAGAGTCCTAGGTTTTAAATCCACTTACCGATGTATTTTGATCCTGTTTTCTATTGAGAACTTTTCCGCAATAAGAGGGCCGGTTCTTGGTTTAACTTCCCCAAGAAGGCTCGAGTTCTGGTATTTACAAGAATTTTCGGTCCGATGATGATGGTGGTGGTGGTGGTGGTGGTGATGATGATGATGATGATTGTTCTACAGTCTGCCTAGCAAAGGCTCGATTTTGCTAGGCCTGAACCAATCAGAGATGTCAGAATGTCAGATCTGTGGAGCTGAAAAGTTAGGCCTTCCGTTTAGTCGGTTGCATGATTAAACGGGTCAGTTCGTCTTCTGTGGGCTTCCGACTTGACTTTGGGTTAGTCTGGCATGTAATAGCTACTCCGGCCCCTTTTATGGGCCCGAATCCAAGCAGGTGCATTCTTGGTACGCTTTAAATTTTTTCGCCCTGTCGTTTTTCATGGTCTTGGCGTCTCCCTTAGTATGCGGTTAGGTCTCCGTTTGCAAATAAGATTTAATGCGGGTGAGGACTCTCAACCCTTCCAGAATGTGTCTGTGCCTTCGTGGAGGAATGAAAACTCGCGTGGGCACATTAGGAAAAAGATGGGTGGTGGGCCCATCCACCCCACCCACCCGCAAGTTGGCTCTGTGATTTTCCTTCCTTCGGTTTTGAACTGTTTTTTCCCCTCCGATTGCTCCATCCGTTACTGCCCTCTCAATCCGAAATGCTTGTGTGCAGTGACTTCCAATTGTTCAACTGTTTCTTACAAAGCTGCCGTTACATCGAACATCTCTGGGTGTCAAGAGTGATCAAAGCGACCGTCTAAATATGCAGAAGGGGAACCTATCGATGGAAAAATGCATGATTTCTTTGACAAAATCTATCCCACCGCGTGTGTTAAGAGAAATAAAAAAAAACGAGTTGACCCTTGATTTTTAATTGTGTGTTAAAATCGATCCCACCTCGATTCCGACGCGAACGAACCGGATCCGGGCAATTCGAGTCGAAGCGTGCAAAGGCCTTGCGGAGCTTGAACCGGCCCAATTTTGCCGCCTTCCCTTGCTGCCTCTTCGCAAATCCCCCGGTTGTACTTGGGAAGTCAGGCCTTGTTGTCTGAATGCAGCGCGCCCGCCCGTCGCCTTGCCCGGGACGCGGGCTTTTGGAGAGCAGCTGGGTTCGCCTTGGAGACTCGGGTCAGCGCCCCTTCCTTTCTGAGGAAATGGGAGAAGGTTTCGGGGAGACGAAGGAAGGGGTCGGGGGTGGGTGGGGTGCAGGCACTGAGGCCCTGTTCTCGGAGGAAAAGGCCCATTTGCCGGGAGATGCTGCGACTGATTCCGTGTGGCAGTCACAAACTGCCTCGTTAGTGCGAGGTTCCCACATAGCCTTCGTCCTCGCCAGGCTTATTCAAGAGGTAGATCTAAAGTGATCCGGAATTTGGGCTTCTTCTCCTTGGCTCACATTTCTCTGCTGCTGCAAAGCTGCTGTAAAATCGCCTTTCAATAAAAACTCCAGGGTTTTTCAGCCAACAGGCGGACAGAGAAAAGAAGCACTCTCTCTCTCCCGCTTCTGTGCTGCAGCAACTTTCCCTCAGAGCCTCTGGGGAACGAAAAAAGAAAAACAAACAAACCCGCAAAGCCACGGGAGTGGGGGTGCCCGGAATATGGGGGTACAATTTCTCCCCCGCTCGTTTATTTTGAGAGGCCGTTTTTCGCTCTTAGACGGACTGTGAGGGGGAGAGAGCCAGCAAAATCAGGTCGATCGGCGAGAACTTTTAGGAACTTAAACACAGGGTGTGTGTGTGTGTATGGGTTACTTTTACAAGTGGCGCTGCCCGCTTAGTAACCCTCCACAGTTTCTAGGTTCACGTTCCCCTCACTTAAATAATTTCCACTTCGGCTGTTAATTTTTTTACTGCAAATGGATGTTCTTTAACTAGAGGAAAACTTATACTTCTTACCTATTTTCTCCGCCTCTCCTCTCCCTCTCTTACGCGCGCGCGCGCGCCCACACACACACACACACACAGGCGTGCATACGTGAGCCTAGGGCAGGTTTCTAATAGCTCTTCCTCTCTCTTCTTGCCTTTCGTCTCCTGTCCAAAGTGGTGACTCCCCAAAAGGAGGACTATTTCCCGCGTGGAAAATGCTTCTCTCGGGGTGTTTGAGATGTATAGAAGGGAAAGAGCGCGCCCTCCCCCTTGTTTCGCAGCCTACTTATTCGGAAGCGACCTTCAGACGCATTTGGAGCATTGGGGGCCTGGCCATTTG